ATGCAGATTAAGGTCCCGATGAAGGGTTGAGCTACGTACATAGTATGGGCAGTTGGTGATGGCACGCATTGCACGATTTTGCAAGACCTCAATGCGTTTATAGTTCGATTTTGCAGCAATACCCCAGATCTGCACTCCATATAGCCAGATCGGGGCTATACAGTGGGCGTATACTGCCCTTTTGGCTCTAAGTGTCATGGTGCTTCTTCTGTTGATCAACCATCGCAGTTGTTGCATTCTCTGACCGCATCTCCGTGCCGCAGCTTTTAAGTGTGGGCCAAAGGTCAACCGTTTGTCAAGGGTGATCCCAAGGTATTTAGCCTGCAGAGGTTGTTCTAGGGTTACGCCATCAAATTGTATGGGTGGTGTGCGCCTAATGAGAGTCTTCAAGGTGAAACAAGGATTGATGGTCTTATGTGGATTTACCTTTAAGTTCCATCTTTTGCACCATGCAGCCAAAGTATTGAGATACTCTTGGAGGCCACGTGCTGCCTCAGTGCAAGAACTGGAGCTGTATAACAGTGCGATATCGTCAGCGTAAGTGGCGAGTAGGGCCTTCCTGGGAGCTTCCATATGGTGCATATTTGGGCAAGGCAAATCCGCGGTAAATATTGAGTAGAGCAGCGGGCCGAGGACGCTGCCCTGCGGAACTCCAGCTCTCATGTAGCAAGGGGTTGAGTAGGTGCTTCTGACCCTGACCATGAACTTCCTATCTTCCAGGTAAGATTTCAGGACTCCATAGTATGGTGCTGGAAGCAGCTTTTTTATTTTGCAGAGTAGGCCGATATGCCAGACTCTGTCAAATGCTTGCTGCATGTCAATAAATACAGCATTGCAGTATTCCAAGTCGTCAAACGCCTGAATAATGTGCTTAACCAGTCTGTGAACCTGCTCCACAGTGCTGTGTCCCTGTCGAAATCCAAACTGGTGATCTGGGAGGATACGGCGCTCCTTAATAAAGTCACCTAGTCTGTTGGCAATCAGCCTTTCCCATATCTTGGATAGCGAAGACAGCAGACTTATGGGCCGATACGATTCCGGATCCTCTTCAGGTTTCCCAGGCTTATGTATCATGAGAATTGCTGCCATTTTCCACTGCTTTGGGAAGGACTGCACCCTAAATATAGCATTAAATATTTTCGCCATGTATAGGATGGCTCGGAGAGGTAGCGCTTTTAACGTGGCATTACAGACATTGTCGATGCCAGGAGTCTTCTTTATTGGCATTGATTTAATGACTTCGGCAATTTCCTCAACCCTGATTGGTTTAATTGGTAGCGACATTTGTAGGGGTATCTCTAGGCTGTCAAGCGTCTCTCGATTCTGCTCCATTGTAGCGAATTGGTAATGGGTGAACCTAGTCTCCAAATGATTTGCAAAGGAATTGGCCTGTTCCTCCTCGTTTTTAGCAAGTTCACCTCCCGGGCATCTAATGGGTACCTGTCTGAACGGTTGTCTTTTGAGGGATTTGGTGGACTTCCAGAGTGAATACCCAGCATCCACCGTATAGTCCATAGAAGCCAGCTTCTGCTCAAAAAAGATACTTCGAAGGTCTCTTACCACATTTCGTAGTTGTTTTGCAGCACGGTTCCATAAGATGCGGTCCCAGGGATCTTGAGATCGGATTGCTCGCCTTCTGAGTCTCCTTTTCTGTGTCAGGAGCTCTCTAGCCTCTCTTGTTAGGGATATTCCATAGGGGGTGCCTGTCCGAGGAACAGAAGGCGTAGATGCAGTCGCAGCCCTGTGAATACTTTGCGTAAGGTGATCAACAGCCATTTCAATTTCTTCACCAGAATTTAGCGTGATGTTCAACGGGATCATGCTCTCCAGTTGTTGACTAAAAGCGAGCGGGTCAGTGTGCTTGTTGACTAATCGTGGACTTGGATTCACATGGGTACTATCTGTCACAATACTGATGATCAAAGGCAAGTGATCGGAGTCCAGATCCCAACTTTGTGTTATACTTGTTAGGGAATCTGGTATACCATGATGCACCGCGAAGTCAATGCAGGAAGGCGTATGACTGGGTACATAAGGATACCTGGTTGGCGAACCAGTTGCAAGTATCTTAGCTCCAGTGATAGAGATGGCTTCCGCTAGCTCACGCCCCCGGGGTGAATTGTAGGTGTCGCCCCAAAGCCAGTGTCGGGCGTTCCAGTCGCCACCAATCATATACCGTTGGCCGCAAGAGCGTATTGTGTCAGTAAATTGTCTTTCGTCGATACTAACACTGGGAGGACAGTAAATGGCGCCGAACTGCACGTCACCCAGTCCTGTAGCTACTTTTACTGTAGACATTTGTATGCTGCGTGTCTCTATGACCCTTTGCGGGAAATGGCGAAGAGTTGTCCTAACGAACACGGCTGCTCCACCAACGCTATTATTATTTTGCGATGGCCTAAATGCTGGATAGAAAGCATAACCATATATCTTAACAGTATCCCCTCTTTTAATTCTAAGTTCCGTCACAAGAAGAATGTCCACGCTATTATTGTGCGCGTAAAGCTCAATATCTTTAGCTTTTCTTGAAATGCCGTTGGCATTCCAAATAAGAATCTTTAGTGGATTCATTGTGGGTGTGGAGCGTTGTTAGAAAGCTGGTAGGTATGTTCATTCCCAGCTCCTTGCTTTAACATGGTGGTTATTTCAAATACCATTCTTTCGAGCTTTTCAAGTCGTTGATTGGTTTGATTTCTGTGATGTTGCTGATCTTGTTGCTGCTGTTGCAACCACATAAGAAACTGATGTTGTTGTTGTTGTTGCATTTGCTGCTGCCATTCTTGGAACTGTTGTTGTTGCTGTTGTAACAATGCTTGGACGTCAAGTGAATTATTTTGCTGAGTGTTCAGTCGTTGTTGCTGCGATAACTGTTGCGTTTGTAAGTTATATAAACGTCGCTGAGCTGGTCCATCCTTGGAGGGAGTTGTATTAGAGTATTCTTTTGCTACTGTGGCATAGGATACTTTTGTATTTACCCCAGGGCCTATAGATGGTTGATGCTGTACCATATTTTGGTGTTGTTGTGTTGGTTGCTGATCTTCAGTTGACTGGTTAGTACTCTTACGGCGATTAATCTGCACGGAAGGAAACTGTTGCTGATCTCTATGGTTGAACCCATGATTCTGCCTATTTAAGTGATTCGCCTTCTTCGCAGGCCCCATAGATCTGCGGAGAAGCTCCTGGTACTTATGGCAACCTTTATAACTAGCCATGTGATCGTGAGAACAGTGATAGCATGTGGGCAGAGCATCTACAGGACGTGTACATTGTGTGGTTTGGTGATTTTCACCACACCTGGCACAATTTGGATGTCTGCGGCAGTATTTAGCTGTATGGCCATACTCCTGGCAACGTCGACATTGTGCAATTTCACTAGACTTTCGCATCCTTTCGATCCGTATTTTCTGTCGGCAAAGGGTCTTCACGTGATAAATTTCATTAATATTAGGGCAGGGCTTAATGTTAATGAAAAAAATATTGAGTTTTTCATCTTTATTAACCCTTGAACTAGGGTTGTGAATGTGAAGTACTTCATAGCCTAAACATTTCAGATCGGCCGTTATATCTTTGTTTTGTGTGCTGTGATGTAAGTCCCTTACTACAATTCTGTGTGCTTTTTCTGTCAGCATTTGGTAAGTGTGAAACTGCATACCAATTTCATCCATATAGCTAACAATTTTTCTGTAAGTGTCACTGTCTTTGGGAAATATTCTGACTGTTTCCCCTTGGTTAGCTTTGACTACGACGTTATCTAGACTTGCCTTTTCTTGTATGAGCTCAAATAGGTCATTTAAGTTGCTAATATTAACAACAATTTGGGGTGGTTTTTTAAAATCTTTGAGTTGATTGTTGGCGTTAGATGTTTCCTGGGATTTATTGGCAGTATTGTTTTCTGCAGATTGAAATTCGTCCATGCGGGCACTAGCATCATCGGCATCCTCAGACATCATGTCTTCCCCGTTTTCTTCATTAGTAATGATGTCCGTGTCGAGAATAGCAAACCTGTTACTAGAGCTTGCCTTCTGGTTAATTGTGGGGACCAAGTGCGGGCCCTGGGTACTGCTCACTCTTTTCGGTTTAAGGATGGGGGACAGTGGCTTTGCATTTTTTCTCTTGCCTGCTTTCCGATTTTGATCATCCAGTAATCTTCTGGCAGCACCGCTTAGATTTTTTGCTGCAATGTCGGGGCTGGTCAATTGGGAACATTCTTGGTTTGCTACACTTGAACCAGAACAGATGCTGCTCATTGTGGGATTTGCCATTGTGTATATGGTGCTGCTACTGGCACTAGAAAATGTCACTGTTGTTGTGGTGGGACTGCTTTGAGACTTATTGCATGTAATGCGTTGAATTTCTGATCGGCACTCGTCTCTAATCTTACTAGGTAATTTTCCAGCTATTGAGAACATTTTTTCATGATCAATCTGCTTCTTTATAAGCTGAGAGTCATCGAAACTGTTTTCATTCATTGTTTTTATATTGTCTTAATATTCAGCAAATAATTTGCGGGCCCAAATGTCCGGAACAGAGCATAAACAGTTCGGTTTTACTGATAAGCAAAGTTTGTTTACCTCTTGTGCAGTTCTGCGCGGGGTGAGGTAGATGACTTGCCCGAAGGGCAGAAAGCACCGTTTGAATGCACTTCACCTGATGCACTTTTTGTTTTTGTCAAACTGCCGACACCGCTCAAAGCAGCGCCCAAATAAATGATTTGTGCTATTTTGAGCACAAAAGGGAATGCACCGATAAGCAAAAAATAAATCACTTTTGCATGCGCGCGACACAACCGATCTCTTTGACTGCCAGAGTAGGAATCCTCCCAAAGTGAATACTCAACTAAACTTAAGTTAATTATTCATACTTTCACTGCATACTTTTGTGCCATTTCCCATCACACATAAAATAATTAAGGAAAGTGTATAGTTTGAATGCCAAAGGGGAAGTTATTAAATAATTTAGCAAATATCAAATATTTGAGTTGAACATTTTTGGGTACTCACGCTGAGAGTTGGAGCGCCGGATGATGTTCTCGAGGAATGTGTTCTGCGGCGCAACCAGTCCACGTCGTCCGCCAGGCATTTTGCCGCCTAGACGCTACGCGTCGCGCTGCCCAATCCTCGCCTGCTCCTGCTCCTGTTCCCGTTCCCGTTCCCGTTCCTGCTGTCCCGTTTTGCTGGCCCCGGTGTCCTTCCGCTCCCCAGTTTCCCCTTTCCTTTCACGCTCACTTCCGCTGACAGCTGGCCTCCTGCACTGGACGCTGCGTTGCACTGACAACTGACAGGTGCTGACGGCTGACAGTTGTCAGCTGATGGATAGATGGCTGGCGGAGAATGCTGCTCCTCCTTCTTGATTTCTGATATCTCCTAGATCCTGGCTCCTGATTCCGGAGGGTGCTCTCAGTGCGCGATCAATTCAAGTCGATGTGGGTGAGGAACCGATCTCGTGTGGTCTTGGATCTGGCGCTCACTTGAATTTCACAGCGGGGATTCGTCATTCTGATGCTGTCTCTCGCTCTCTTTCTCTCTCTCTCTTGCTTTCTCTCTGTCTCTCTCTCGCTCACTCGCTCTTCTTCTCCCACTAACACACACACACGCACTCAGTCACTCACACACATGCGGAAGAGAGAATCGCTTCAATGCTTCAATGATGACCACTTGACCATTCACACAGTCTTATCGGTTGCATATGGCACTGTAGGGAAGAGAAAGCAGAAGAGAAGCTGTTAGATCAACCATGTTTGAGTTTGAGCCTTGATTAAATAATTATGTACCATATAATCTATGTTCCTGCACATTAATTTATAACCAGTCACAACTCAACGAAAAGCACATTTGCTCGATGACATTGCTTGAGGAACGCTGTCTACATAATACTTATACCCCTTACTCGTAGAGTAACAGGGTATACTAGATTCGTTGAAAAGTATATCATACTCTTAAATGTTTCTGGCGCAATACTCTAAAAATCTGCATTCAAATTTAGGATATTTTTAAACTTAATTTTTTTGATGTTATGATGTAGACTTTTTTTTAAATAGTGTGTTATATTTAGCTGTGTAACGGGTATCTGATAGTCGATGATCTCGACTATAGCATTCTATCTTGTTTTTTCTTGTATACGTAACAGCAGACAAACAAAATAAAATTGTTTGAGAACATTTAATCCCTAGCTCATTGTCATTGCAATTCAAAACTGAGAAAGTGGCAAAATAAATGCAATTTATTTATCAGGAAATTTCATAAATCGAACCACAAATAAAATCGCAGTATTTTAACTAATTGAAACCCAATAACAACGGTGCATAAAGCGTTAAGACTCAATTATATGAACACAAAAAAAGATTATAGGTTTAGGAATTTGAATTTATTTGCTTTGGAAATTAGGCCCAAAAATGTTCGATGACAAATTAATGACAGCTCTTAATTCCTGAAATTAATTGTTGCATGAAAGGCATTTTAGTAAAATCACTTAAATTGATCAATGCAAATTCAAGGCCTTTTCAGTTTGGCTGTCAAGACGCATTAATTATGCAGTTTATGCAATTTAAATATGGTTACATTAAGTGTAACCTTCCAATTGTATTAATTGTGCACTCGGGCAGAAGATGTGCCAATTTTGCACAAGTCTCACAGTTAATTACGATATTCGAACAGACAACAGGGCGTATGCGTAATCTATCTATTGTTTCCCTCAAATGCTACACTCTCCGCAGCTTATCTCAAGTATATTACGTACAAATGCATTGGGAATTCTGTTTCCCGATAAGTGACGCAACTCTCACATAACTCTTTCGTGGACCGATTTAGGCCGAAATCCGCATTAAGTACACCCTAATGAGCAGCCAACCTGCCATCAATTGGCTGTCTTGGGCCACAATTACGCAACTCGATTAGCCAATTATCAGAGCCAGGCCAAATAGGGCCGCAATAAAATCGCAAGGAGTAAACCGAAAGTGCAGCAGCAAATTGGCTAATTAAAGAAGACAGCCGAACAAAGTTGATTCACTTGTCCAACACGCACTAATTACAAACTGCAGGAAGTTCGCCAAGCAGGTGGTGCACAGGGAGGTCCTGGGGGCAGGATCCTGAAAGTCCTGGCAGCTGGGAAGCCCAGGAACAGACTCATTAGGATCGGATTGAGTCGAGCCGGGCTAAATTGGCATGGGTCGTGCGTACGACAGCAGCAACTGAAACATGAGGATTATGAATAGCTGGAATCAGGCGAAGCCAAGTCAGAAGGACTCGCATTGCAGGAATGAAGATGTTTGCATTTAAAGGTTAAATATACACCAGAGTGGGCGGAATATGCTGCTTAAACAAGAGCTAGACTTAAGATGCAGCTCAAGTGAATGCTTGTGGAGGGAAAATCCGGAAAAGAAATTAATCTGAAGCTGACGCAAATGAAAGGGTGTCATGTGTTTTAGGTGTGGACCAACAAATTACAGAATAAAATAATCAATTTAGAAGCATATTGCCTCAACTTGACCTCAATATCACTTTCATTTCCTTTCATTTTCTGTATTTAGTTTCAACTAGAACAACAAAACTAGAACAACAAACCGATCAGCTCAAAACACCTAAAACTACAAAATTTCCTTCAGCAATTATAAGCTTATTACAATTTGCTGTAGTTCCCTTTTGAAAATTACCTCTAAACTGCGTAAAATAACTCTAACCAAAATGAAGAATGCAATTATTATGGCGCTTTCATTCCAAAAGCATTTCATATTCCAGTTTGTCTTGGGCCCCGAAGTTAGCAACAGTTGCACGGTGGAAATGGACTTTGAATTCGCATTTCAGTGACTCCCCAGAAGCCCCTTCTCACACTACGCCCCTGTACTGAGCTGTTGTTCCTGTTTTTCCTCCTGCAGGGCTGCTGGGTGAGCTCAGTAATCTTTAATTTCATTAAAATTCAAGCAACGCCAACGACAGCTTCTTTGTCCTGTTCTCCAGATCCTTGCTGTTGTTGCTGTTGCTGTTGCTGCTGCTGTTAGCGGAGCATGGACTACGGATGTTGCCAATGTTGCTGGTGCCGTAAGTGCTTATTAGAGGGCAAAAAGGAAGAAGGAACACTTCAGTGTAAGCGAGTAGCGCTCTCAGGCATTTATGAATTTTCTGGCTTTAATGCGTGGCCCAGGAGCAGAAAAGGAGCAGGAGCAGCTGCCCCAGTGGCCCAGTTGGAGTGAAACCAGAGGAGGGTCAGCAGATGGGTAGATGGTGATGTAGTGACTGGCTGGCTGACTGGCTGACTGGCATAAACTTTGCCAACAATGTGCTCATTGTGTTCACCCTTCATTGGCTGGTTTATCCCGTCTCGCCCAGTCCCTTTAATGCATATAATTAACTGCAACTTGCTGCTCCGTGTTTGCCACAGGGATAATGGACGCAAATTCATAGCAGATCCAGAGTTGGGGCATCTCCAATGCACCGACGACTATGATGCACCAGGGAATAGACAATAATGCAAGTCCTACGGCAATCAATAATGGCCCTCGCATAAAGTGGCAACTTCCGGCGGTTTAACATAATTATGCTTTCAAACGAGATTATTAAAACGCGTTATCAGTATTGAAAAGGTACGAATATATAATAGATAATTAAAGCACTTATGACGTCGATTAAATTTCCCATGGAATTATATATAATTCCATTCATTTTCAACTTAAAAGTTGCGAATTGCGAACATGTAAAAATAATATATACTAGAAAGTATTGAGTTGCATCATCGAAGCCAATCCCATCATTGCTATTTACAGCACAATTGGATGATCCCCGACAGGCAAACACTCGTGAAACGCACTGTACTGGCTGCTGTCAATTTGAGGACCAATCGCACATTGCCCACTGACGTCACAAGCCAAAAAGGAGGCAGAATAGGAACGGAAAGTCAAGCCTCTCAGCACTCGCCTATTTATAATAAATGGAATGTCGCCACGCCCCTTAATGTGGCGTTGCCTGCCCCCTTTTTCCCCTTCTCCACTGACACACTTGCCACTTGCCATGGCCCCTATGTTCCACCGCTTTCCACAGCTTCCCCCATCCCACATTTTGCACCTTGCAACACATGAAAAACTAGAGGAGTTTTGCTGACAGTGTGAGCGCGCGCGTGTGTGTGTGTGATTGTATGTGGCAAGGACCAACTACAACTATTTCGGACGAATATGTGGCAGTCGCTGTGGCCGTGGCACTGAGAGAAATCGGCTGCATCTCCTAGTTTTTAGTGGATCTGCATGCTAATTTGAAAATATTAAGACTTGATACATTTATTCATTAGGGCTGTTTACTAAGTACCAATACATTCTTTGTTGCCATCATCCATAACAAACGAGTTCTTTAACTTTTTAGGGTGTCTTTGAAACGTAAACATGCACTTTTCCAGTATCCGTAGATTGAATCATTGGTATTGATAGGGCTTTTTTGACTACGATGCAGAGCTTGTGGGCAAAATTAAAAAGTGCGGGCGGCAATGGGGGATAGGTACGTTTTTTTCCAGTCTGCAGCCGAGTGACCACGAGAAAGGAGCAGGACAAACTATGCCACAGGATGACGCTCACCTTGCCCCACAAAGCGCAGCATCAGCAGCAGTAGGAAAATCGCTGAAAGGGGAAAAGCGGAAAGGCTAAGAACGGAAAATCAGGAGGGCTGTGCGGGGGCGACTATACATTTTAATTTGTTGCAGCTCTAAGAGTTCGTCCCTCCGCTTCATTCTGTTCCCCTATTCCAATTCCCCTCAGTGCCACCCACTCATTTTATGGCTCACTTCAAGTACGTCATAAAAATTAACATGAGAGGGTCAAGGGGCTTGGCCAAAGGATAAGGAGCAGCTAAGATGGCTGCGAGTCACAGGACACAGGATGCGGATGGCTTGGGGTTCGGTGAGATAATATACAAAGCTGTTAAAGAATATCTAAGATCACTATTACATCACTGCTTAAAACTAAATACACATAAATTCATATAAAAATATATACCAAATAATCGTATTCGTATAAATCGATTTGATCTTTGAGGGAACTTTTAAGGAGCTTCAAAATGTGCCACATAAATAGTTGCTCCAAAGAAGGATCACACACAAGTCAGCTGTGTGATGTCCCTATTCCCTGGATTGTACTCATGGCACTTGGGCTTTGAGGAGGAATCAGGCTGGTTTATATCTCCCCCAGCTCGTTCGCACATGCATATAGAAATATATATGTATATACTCCCCAGTACGCTCCTTTCGTCTCATTCATTTGGATTTAATTTCCGGTGTGCTGCGTTCGTTCGGCTTTCAAATATTAATAGAGCTCCGACATTATTAATGAGATGGTGTCATCAAGAAAATGAAGCTGCCCCGGCGATGTGTAACCCGCCCTCAAATGCTCTGGCTCACCTTTCGGATACTTTGCCATTGTGGACTATTCAAAAATTTATAAACTTTTTGCCATTCGCTTTCAGTTTCGGTTCGGCTACGGGTTCAACTTGGCTCATGCGTCTAAGCCAAAAGCGCACAGACAGAATGAGTGGTAGACGGAATTTCTGAGCACCTGAATTTGGCGAACAGCACCAGAGAATCCTGGCCATTGCCTAATTACCTTCTACACCAGGGCTGCCAAGCGGTACGGAGTTCTGTTCCTGACATCTCGTTTAAATGCATTTGTGCTTGTGCACATGCAATGTGCATTCCCATTCCCAATCCCAATCCCATTCCCA